AGCGGGAGAAAAGGCATGATTAAATGAAAAAATTATTCAATCATAGCTTCGTCCTAAGGATCGTCAAAAAATGGCTGAATCATTGGCGTTGCTTGAAGTTTGCCTGAAAATATAACTCAATTTAGGACAAGATTTGCGTCCTGCAACACCGATGATGGTGCACAGAGGACTTATTCACACGAATCTACAGTCCAAACTCCAGGACAGTGCCCCAACTTCCGGGGAGGCGGACTTACAATTCCCCTCCACACGACACTTCAATAGAACTAAAAGGTATGCCAATATCAACCAATGAAATAATTTATCAAAATCCAGTTTTCCTCCAAAGCTTGCCCTCCACGAAAGAATAAGGCCCACAATTTATGATATCCAGCAACTCATGTTCATGATTGGTACGCATTTTTAAATCAATTCTATCTGATAATCCGTTGCATTTCCAAGTTCAACATTGAGGAAATATACACAACTGATGCATACCTGTCCATCTGCCGTAAGAAAGGGCGCAGCCAAGCCAGCCAGTGTAGGCAGACAATAATTGCATACACGAAAGAATCGGGCCAAATTCGAGTCAGTGGGATGAAGTGAAGAAACGGCAGACAAAGCCACAGTAAACAGGCCTTTGCCCCCGTCCAACCAGTTGATCTCAGTCCCATTCCCGACTCCGGAGCCAGCTTGGCTAAGCCCCTGATCGCAAAAGTCACCAGAAGGGCCCAGTCCGGCAGTAGCAGGTTGGCTGCGTCGCAGAATGCTGTGTGTAAAAGAGGATGTTCCAGAAAGGCCGCAAGGGCCATCGGAACTACGAGCCTGAGGCCGAATTGGGTGTGAACGCATGAGTGCAGAAATAAATTTGCATAAGAGTGTGTGAAAATAAAAAGCATGAGCAAAGAGTGCAACGAATATAAAGGTGCAGGATAGTCAGTAATAGCAGAAAAAATGTGGGAGTAAATTGAGAATAAAGTATGCAGAATATGGCATAATAGAGCATGCCTCAATATGACAGTATACAAGAGATATGGACATAATACCAAGTGGACTGTGCGATGAATAAGAATAGGAAGAGAAAATATTACATGAATTTTAATGGAGATATTATCTCGGCCTTTAAAATACAATGTTGACAGCAAGCATGACCTCGAATAATGACATCATTAACAACTCCAGTGTGAATGTGGCAATCTAGAGACACATGAGTCACCTGACCTAATCTTCATAGAGCTTCACGACAAGTATGAAAGAAAATCTCGCGATTCATATATTTGATGGGAATGCTGGAGGCACTGAGTGAGATCAAAATTGTGGTTCAGCATGGATTGGGAAAGTCTGATAGGATGCTGACTAAATGAGATTCAAGGCATTCTATAAAATTACTCGCGGTCAAGGCAATCCTATAAAATTATATGGGATTTGTGAGTATTTAAAAACAACTAGGTTCCAGAAAGATGCAGAAAATCCAGTGTAAGGAATATTTTTTGTGGGAAAATGTTTCAAAGTGACTCTATGGGGTGTCTTTGACAATGTCGAAAATATGCTCAAAAAGAGGCCAGAATAGAGCTATTCATATTTGATTACGAGGAAAACTTAGCAAAATGAAACAACAATAGGTATGTGAAGAGAAGCTGGGTTTCGAAGAATCCCGTAGTAGATTAAAAGTAGCATACCTTTTATTTTCTTTCAAAAGGCGGGTGGAAGGGATTCATAGATTGGTCACACCTGACACTGAAGGAGGGTTGCCTTGGACTTTTGTCTGTTGAATTGTGTGAAGAAGACCTCGTCTCACCGTCCTGCCACCCCGACGACTCCGTGCTGAGCTTTCGTCCATCATATGAAGGAACACGAACAATCACCAAAAACATAAAACCAAGAAAGGATTTTCCCACAATGATATGAGTTGAGCTGACGTTTCCATTGAATTTCACATAGCCTTGCTTTCCCAAAGTTGTTATCATCCTGGGTGGACTGCAGTTTCGACCCCGCATTGGTCTTATCAACACCCTCAGCGGGATTCGAACCGCCGAGTGGTTAGCGTGTCAAGCTACCGTCC